CCCCCCCCCAAACCCAAAACCCCCCCCCCCCCAAAACAAAACAAAAAGAAACCCAAAACTCTTCTGGAATACAGCATGAAATAATTCCCTCGTCTTGAACATGGAGGTCAGACAAAATGTTCTGTTTACATACCAAACAACTATTAAACTGGAAAGGCTAGGATTGTGTATCGAGCTTTGTATGATTAGATTGTGACTGCCCCTTTTGAAACGCAAGAATGTTGCACCAATCATGCATATTCTGTCTAGATTAGACAGCTATGAGATCACATCGTGCTATGCTGTCAGTTGCCCTAGAGGAAAACGTTTCTAGAAATGAGTAGTTATGAATTGGTCCCAGTGCTTGTAGAATAGTGACATTTTCTCTTGACTTAGATGGATTTTTAAGTATTTCTTTAAAATACTTTAATAAATAAAATGTTGCTTTAAAAGGTTGCCTCCTCTTACCTTGCTAAATTTTTCTGTAATCAACAGAAGTGCTCCATCAAGAACACATTAAATCTGAGATTTTAATGGACCAAAATCTATTAATTGTCAATATATTATTTTCTAGATAATGCTATCCACTATTGTGCTTCTCTCTGTTCCCACTTGATGTGTAAAGGGCCAACTTGGGACATGCTAGAAGATTTATGTGTTGCCCTGTTCTGAGTAGGAGGATACTCTAAAACCCCATATTTTTAAGGCAATGTGCTTGATCTAATTATCATCAAATATAAAATGCTATTTATTTGTGTGGATAGTTGGGTAATAGCACACAGATGTTAATTGCTTCGATCTGATTCATTTTGCATTTTGTCAGTTATGATACTCGGAGATGAGATTTAATGGTAATTACTTTTCACAGAACAATCTCAAGTCAAGAGGGAAAAGGCTCTGTGTGTAGGTATCTTTCAGCAGGCACTGGGTAGAGCTCTCCTAAACTGTTAATCCCTTCCTTAGGGGCTTGAAAAATGATGACTATTTATAGGGGATTTTTTATATGCAGAAGAAGAGAAGGATGAGGTTTCTAAAATACTTGATAGAACTCTGCATTTGTGCAGATGAGCATCTTCATGCTTTGTGTGCGTGTTGTTAGCTGAACTTGAATATTTGGTCCATGATTTCATGAAATTAACTTCCTTTTCTTTTGCAAGGTGCAAATTAAGTCATGTGAGGTCTTACTTTTCAGATTGACTTTCAGTTGTTTCCGTATAAAATATTAACTCCATAATAGATTATTTTTAGGTTGCAATACTACATTGTTAAAACCCCCAAACTGCTTTTGCAATGGATATATTTTAGTGTAAATTATCAGCTGAGGTCAGATACAGAATTTGTTAACCGATATCACTAAGTAATAATCAAGTTTGCTTTGGAACTTGCAAAATTTTGAAATCTAAGGTGCCAAATTAATGAATCAAATACATAAAAAGATAAGGGCGAGCAAGCTGGATCTCATTTAGTCCCTTTTGGACCCATATAGAATTTATTACTTTAGACTTCATGAATTGTAGTGTTTAACATGTTTCTATTGGTTGTCTTGATATTAGCTTGACGGGATCCTGTATTTTTCAACGTTCGTATGGTCTGAAGAGATGAAACGTGTGACACTATAAGTCATCTTACCCGGTGCATTCTTCCTGGAGCTCCTCGGGTGCATAACGCCTTTTTGTATGGAGAAGTGCAGGACGTTCCTTTGTTGAATTGTGATGAACTCTTCATTCAGAAATCATAGAGTTGTCAGTATAGTTTGCAAATGTAGAAGAGGTACTGAACTATAGAATTGATTCTTGATGTCTCTTGTAAGTGTGTGAAGTCAGTAATGTTGAAATGGGAGCAAACATAAAAATAAGTCTAGAAGAGATCTGACAACGCATTTTTCCTGTGGGATATGGAATAGAACTGATCCTCACTGTTTTGCTGTTTGTTGCGTAAGGATAAATACAGCATCAGCAGCGATTCTTTTTCTGACCACAAAAAAAACCCCTAAACTTACGTTACTGAGAAGGAAAATACGGAATTCCTTTGCTTCAGTGATACAGATTTCCTTCAGAAGGTTGTGTGGGCCAGGTTAAAAAAAAATGCTTCTCTTAGCAAAGGTTTCCAGCCTCCTAAGTTGCCCCATCTAAAAATAAAATAAGCCAAAGCAAGCAAACTATAGAGCATTGATAGCAAATACTGATATGAAATAGATCATCTTTTAAAGGAAATAATGGGAAAGAAATTTTCCATGCAACATACACTTGTAAATGTTTGTGGTTTTTTGATTAAAATATCTTTTCAAAAAAGAAATTATTTATATAGCTACCGAAGGCAAATACTTTATGCATATGAGAGCTAAAGCAGAAGATGGATGGCAGATTGAGCAAAGAGTTTTACAGATGCTGCAAAGAAGGCTGCAAGCATTTTTTTCTTTGCTCTCAGATGGTATGGAAAACATACTGATCCATCCTGAGCCTCATCCTTCTAAAATGTATTTCTATTCATTATGGGAGCCTCAAGTGTTTGATTTAATATGAATTAAGATTACACAGGTGGCCTTAATTCTGGCATTTCCTATCTTTGACGGGCTTGATTTTCATATCTGTAGTTGTCTATTAATCAAGTTTTTTCTTGTGGGTATAATTTCCTTTGCTAAAAGGGGGCAGGGCATGGGCAAACAAAACCTGCAGCATATTAGTAGTTCTTCTTTACACAGAAATCATAGTATCGTAGGAAAATTCATCTTGGGAAGACCTTTATCCAGTCTAATCTTGAAAATTTCCAAAGATGGGAATCTGCAGCTCCAGTGAGCAGCCTGCTCTGCTGCTTAAGATCTTTTCAATGCAGTGAATAGTGGTGTTCTAACTGGGTTAATAATACCTGAATTAGGTTGTGGCAAGCAGTCCTGGGACACGTGATGTATGTTTGCCCATGAGATGTTAAGGAAGGATTCCTTAATTTTTTTTTATCTGTACAACTTGGAAGAGACCTACCTTGCTCTTTTCCTATCCACTTTGCTCCAGTCCTCAAAATTCATTTTGCCTCTCCTTCTCCTACCTTTCCTGATCTTGGTTTTTACCTTCCTATGCTTTTCAATTTACTCTTCTTCCCAATGCCAGTTGAGACTCTAGATCTATAATTTTTCACCTCTCTTTTTTCTAAACAGTTATTCTGCTTTACTGTTGTGACATCCATCTTTTTGTTTTGATATTGAATATGGTTTGTGCCAGCTTCTTCTGAGTGTAGACTTGTTCAGGAAGATGTAGGTGAAGAGAAGAAACTTACTGTTACTCTGGGTAAAAGCCAAGGATGACGCTCCTGCTTAGGAGTTCCAGTTGCTTGAAAAATAATCTAGAACACTGTAGTGCTGCATTGCATATTTTTCGTTTTAAGACTGGCGCAGTATTAACTCGAGTGTTATCTCTTAAATTAAGTGTGGCCAGAGTATCATCAGCATGAGTCTCCTAAGAATTCTACTTGACAAGTGATGATGTATGCCCAAGGAAATTTTGATTGGTGATGGGAGCTTGATAATTTGAAGTCGAATAGTTGGGTGTAGATTTCTTTCTTTTTTTTTTTTCCTCCCTCTGTATCTTAGTCCAGAAGAGATGTGTTTATATAAGTAGCTTAATATCCTTTGGATTATTTGCTTGTGTAAGTTTATGTAGGATTTTTTTAGTGCAGGTAAGTTTTTATACAGGAAAGATTGACCAGCTAAAAACTTGAGGGCTAGTGCAACAGCAGCGTTCATCTTTGGAGTATATGATATATGATGTATCTGTTGTGTTTATTCATTTTATGTACGCTGCATGCTGTGTCCTATCCAAAGTGTGTGACTGGGCATGAAGTCAGAGTGCCTTGGCCTGGGAATCTAGGGCAAGCCTAGGCAGAGAGGGGAAAACTGCTCTTTCTCTTAGAGTGTCTGAACATGGTGTATTAAGGAAGGGGGGAAGGATGGAAAGATTCAAGGGGAGACAGCTGAAGTGTTTGCGAGACAGTAGGCAGAGAGCTTGCATCAGGAATGAATGCTGAAAGACGTCTGCTCTTAGGGGAACAAATCTGCCTCAGGAGCAATGGAAGTAAAGATCCTTTTCTAGTGACCCAGAGGGAGTGACAGGTAATTTGTTTCAACCAGGAAGCCATTAAAGATTGCTGAACTGAGAACAAGTCTGGGAGAAGAATCTGTCCTGGGGGAAATTTCTTCTCAAGGCTTCTATTTATTGTTTCACTCAGAATATCAGAGTTTTCTCTTTACATGGTAAGCTGCTTCTTGTGGATTTTTTTTGTTTATTTTTGAATCATACGTAGCTTTAAAGATCAGAGTCTCTGAAAATGCCATCTCGAAGCTTTTTGGGAAAGGCCTTTTGATATGGCATCTTTGGAATGAGTTGCTGAATCATTTCTTAGTGGACAGATGCCCACCACTAAGAAAACAACGTTTTTTGCACTTTTGTGAGTAAAGGCAGGTAATCTATGCATTGAATGAGTTCTGTGATCTATATTACCTTCTTGTTTCCAGAGAAGTTTTCTTCAGGTCCTGTCTGAAGCAGAACATTGTGGGAAGATTTATGGCAGCCCAATTGGTACAAGGTGCATGAACAGCAAATCCATTTTGTTGACCAACCTGTCAATTGGTTTTGTGCATGTTAGTCTGCACACTGCTAAGAAGCATAATCCGACTTCAATATACTATTTTTTAGTAGTTTTTTCTGTTTGTGTGTCCTGCAGGAGAATGACTCAGGAACATTGGATACAGTCGGTGCAGTTGTTGTTGACCAAGAAGGAAATGTTGCTGCTGCTGTCTCCAGTGGAGGTTTAGCACTAAAGCATCCTGGAAGAGTTGGTCAGGTGATTATACCTTTTCGCTTGGGAATGATTGTTCAGTAATTGTGACGCTAAGCAAGAGCTGTGATAGCAAACTGATGTTCTCCCTTCCTGTTAAACTCTGAAGGCATTGTCACTACATTGGAATGCAAGTTTTGATTTTTAGTGTCCTCCATCAGTGTTATAAAACATTAATAGGTCAGAAGTTCTGCAATTAGTTACATTTTGCCAGAGCTATTAATAAGTTAATTTCTTGGGCTTAAATACCTCCTTAATACCACAAATAGTCTCTTAAATGCTTAAGAGTGGTTTTAAATAAGATGTTCATCAATATTTAGGGAAGCTGTCCTAATTAATTTTTAAATGATCTTGTGAATTGGTAGAAGTGACAAAGGTATTAAAAGAACACATTGGGTATAGGCATTCCTTGTTGTCATTAGGTGAGGGAATTTTGATGTGCGTCAGAAATGTCAAACTCCATTGCTGTACAGCTATATTTCTGGTTGCCTTTTGCCACTGTCCCAAAAGCAGTTCTCTTTTCAAATGCATTTAAGATTTTCTTTTGGAATAGCAGAGTGAAAAGGTCTTTATATAAATAGGAAAAAGCTGGAATTATTTTGTGTTTTGATATCTGTACGGTCATTTTCTGTAAAGTTAGGTTAGAATGCCACACATCTATGCTAATTATTCAGTTCTGAAGAATAGTAAAAGATGTAGCAAAATGGATTGGAATCGTAATTTTGACTGTTACGATTTTTTTTTTTTTATATTAGTACCTGCATTTTTCTTAGGGTTTGGGGGTTATTTTGTTGGTTTGGAGCTTTAGTGTTGGGTTGTTTTGTGTGTGTGTTTTGGGGTTTTGGGGTTTTCTTTTTTTGTGTTGTGGGGTTTTTTGTTTTGTTTTAAGGGAAGGGAACAATCCAAAAACCTTGTCTACTTAAATTTATGAAAGATGTACTTCTTTCCTTAGGCAGCTCTTTATGGTTGTGGCTGCTGGGCTGAAAATACAGGAGCTCATACCCCTTACTCCACTGCTGTGAGTACTTCAGGTATTTACTACTTTTATAAATATTTCAAAAAGTTGCTATCTTTATAATTAATTTACAAATTCCAAATAAAATATTTATCTGAATGGCAAATTAAAATATTAACATTATTTCCACACTACATTCTACATGTCTATCATTTATTTAGATATAAAAATATATATATATGTCAGTAGTGTCTTTAGATCCATGAATTAATCTCTGTTGGTTGCTTGTATTAGTCTTTTTACTTAATTAACAACCGTGTGAATTTTTATCCTGTTTAAAAGATTTTGTATTGCACTGAAAGGATGTACTGTATTTGTTCTGTATTGAGGGACCTGTCCTCCTGGAAAGAAGTGCTGTTGTAAGCCTAATACTGTGCTAAACTCAGAGTTCCTCTGTGACTGGAAGCCTTCTGTAAAGACCTAAGATAATTAGAAGGTCCTTTAACACAAGAGGGTCCCCTGGATACAAAAGTGCTACAAATAGCGTTTTTCCCTCCAAAATATTGAATTATTATTTTAAGTGAATATATTAAGTGAATTTGTTCTTCATCTCTCTTTTTGTCTCAAAAGGAAGGGGAAAAGGCAAAACCAAATTACTAGAATAAGTGTCTTGGAAAACATTTATTCAGAAATTGTGAAAGTAATGTAAGAATTAGAGTAGCTTCTCTTCTCTTCTTTGGAAGTCTCAGGATCTTGGACGCACAAAAGTATTTTGTTCATTTGATGCCTGTCAGCCAGCTATCACACAGAGCTGTTCCGTCAGTTGACACACTGAGCACTGGAGGTACCAATTAAAAACAAGTTTGTCAACAGATCTACTAAATGTAACAGGACTGAAGAAATAGTAAAAATCAGAAAGAAAACAAAACACAAAAAACTAACCAAACAATAGCTGGGAAGATAGCTCACACTGCAGTGTAAGGTTTGAGAATGTAAGCTGGGATGTTTTTAACTTGTCCGGAACAGACATTGAAAAGCTAACTGTATTGTTACACCGGCTGAATACTGTAGAACCCAAAAGCCTTCAGGTGAAGTTATGCGGGAGTTGCTTTTACTTTGCAACTCTCACATAAAAGCAGTTGACTGCATTTCATCTCTTTTTTTTTTTTCTTCCCCCTAGCTGTATAAACAGTCTCAAACAGAAAAGCTACTTGTTAACACTTTTTTGTGAATGCTTATGTCAGGATGCAAAATGTATGGTTTGGACCACTGCTTAATGGTGTTAAGAGTTATCAGCATTGAGTATAAGGAGAGATGAAAAAAAATCTGCAGACTTCAGATTTAGGTAATATAAACTATATCCCAAGAGTACTGCGGAGTTAGAGTCCTGTTACAGAAATAGTGGGGGGAGCAAGGTAACAGGGTGTAGAACAAAAATTTGACCGAGGCTGAAGAGCATCAGACGTACCCTGTGTTGCCTTTGAAGTCATGTACCTTTCTAATTTTCCCTGTATTTAAGTCTGTCTCACGCTGTTGAAAATTTGTGTAGATGTTCACCCTTAAGTTCAGTGTTAGTAATAGTCCTTTTTAGTACTTAGGCAAAGGAGAGCTATACTGAATGCAGAAGTGTCAGAAGATCTTTCCACTCATGGAACACCACATTGATTTTAGTTTAATAAATGCTTACCTGTGTAAGCAAATATATTTAAATATTGCAGTATTGGGGACCATAATAATTAAGAAGTATAAGTCCAATATTAGAGACTGTTTGTGGAAAAGCTGAGAGTGACACCTTTAAGTTTTTAAAACTGTTCTTTACAAAGTCAGCTGGATTTGAAGTCTATGCAAGTACCAGCAAGCATCCTGACACACATAAAGGAGACGTCTGGGTTTAATGATGGCCTTAAATAGACTCTTGCTTGCTTTTTGCTGGTACCAATTTTATATAGTGGTAAATACTTTAATGTTATACTATTTTTAACTATCTCTCTCTCTCACACATATATATGTATGTTTCTTTAGTTCAAATCTTCTAGCTTCCATGACATTACACTCACAGCAATTGCAGTTAATTGAAATAGACTGCTGGCGGTCTATGAAGCATGGCCATCTGTTTATTCAGTGATTTGAAATTCAGACTAGCGGTGTTTAATTAAACTCTTGTTTCTGGTTTTCCTTTAAGTGTGTGTGTGAGAGAGAGGGAGAGAGGGAGGGAGATAGCAATGTTTACAGGAAGTAAGAACTCTTCTGTAATCAATACCATTCTTTTTTCCATTTTCAGAAGCTCATAATGTTTTATTTTATAATGTAATTTATGTTTAGTGCCATTTTAAAATATATTGATGCCTGTCTCTTGTTTAAAATATAAGCATCCGAAAATGTGACCCATAAAGTTAATTAAGGGGTAGAGGGATGGAAAAATTAAATTATAGAAAAGGTTGAAAGAATGAAACTTACAACTTGGCTGGATCACAGCACGAGATTGGAATGGGGGCGTAAACATCTGCAAATATTCAAAAGGTGAAATTGCCAAGGCTAAGCAAGAAAATAATATGTTAATGTACATCATTGTTGGATGAGCATTTTGGAAAATAAAGGTACTGTCTAAACTCTAGAACATGCCTTGATTTGGAAAGCTCTAAGGTTGACAGTGCTTGCTGAGACAAGATAAGTGTTGCCACTTGGTGTACCTAAAATCAGACTAGACTGTGTTTGTAATAGTGATTATACCCCCCCTCATGTCGGTTTCTAAATTGGTTTTGTGTGGACATACAGTTAAAAAACCAGCAACAAATGAAACCTGCATGTTCTGTATAAATAAAAACTGTGTGCCCATGCGCAATCATTTAACGTTTCATTTTACATAGACATACACTTTTATGTAAATGCATTTAAAATACATACATAAAATAACTGAAATTTACAATCAGTTTAGATTTCTGTGCTTTTCACAAAATAGCACGTTATTGTTTTAATTTCACACGTCTCTTCATTTTAATTTCTCTTTACATGTTAAATTTATTTGGCACAAATTTATCCTAACGTTTTCTACAGGGAATTTTTTTTCTGTTGTATGGGAGGAGGGCAGGAAGAAGAAAATTAGGCTTTGATTGCTGTGTGTATTGAGTACTGTATATGTAGGCTTTTAATATTATTGTTAAATGACTTCTTAAAAGACCTGATTCATCAAATTGCATTTGGAATTTAAAAAAAATCTTGAATGAAGAGAAAAGTTTAACTATCATTCCCTTAAAGCTTTATCTAAAGTATGCTCAAAATTATTAAGTATTAATATGTACTAAACCAAAGAATTTTAACTTGAAGATTCTTTGGGAAATAAAAGGTTTCACGTTTGTGCTGGTTTAGACTTTTTATAGTGATAACTGGGGATAGAAATTCAAGTCTCGAGAGTTTGTTGTATCAGGCTCTACATTCAGTCTTGAAAAAGAATGTTCTTTGGCATTAGTTTCCCACAAGCAATTTTTAAGGGCCAGGTCTTGTAAGCTGTTTTGATTCCATACTTAGGAATTTGCTCATATCTTTGGGTTTTGGAGGCTGTGATCAGCAAGAGATTGAACAACTTGGGGAAAACCTCTGGTGTGGGGAAAGGAGAGTTTGGAATAGTAATGCAAAGCATACAGAATATAAACTCTTTCACATTGAAATCCATGCGGGATTGGCAGGAACGCAAGAATGGACACACTGGGTCAAACCAGAGCTCCAGATAGTTTGGTGTCCTGTTTCAGATAAAGGGTGTTTGCAGGTCTCCAAGGAAAAGTACGGGACTGGGAAAAGCACCTTCGCTGTGTCATCCAAGCTTCTAGCAATTTGTGATATTGGGACTTTATACGCTGGAGATATCTTTGTTTTCAATGGATCAGGATGACTTTCTCAACATTTCTCATTTCTTTTTGTACTTAGAAGAGCAGTTATTTAAATTTTGCTGGGAATGTTTTTCTTACTCTGTGATGGTTTAACGTTGTAGAAGCTTTCTTGGGAAAAGTGTTAGTTTAAATACCACAGTAAGTGACACAATAGGTTTTATTCTTGAATTTTTATTAATTTTGTTCTGAAATCCTTCTATTGAATCTTCAATTTGAGACATATCTTTCAATATCTTCCTCATAAAAAAAAAAAGGGCATTGCCATAAAAGTACTTCAAAGTACTTCATTAGAAGGACTTCCAAATTCACGTAGCTTTCTTTCAATGGTCATGTATTATTTGAAGACATGTTTTTACATCTTGATCTTCTGTTGGCCTTGTGAATGCTGGCAGGCTTCCTGCTTTTGCATGTTCAGGGAGGATTTCTTATTAGTTCTTATGCCTTCAGCAAGTTGTTTCTCAAATATTTCTGGCCATTTTTATCGTGATTTTATATTGAATGTGCCAAAGGTGGTGGTTCTGAACTTGCTTGGGCATGACTTCAAGTTTTTGAACGGTATTTTCTTACCTCTAACAGACTCTTGGCCTTGTTTAGCCACACTGTCTTTGGTTTTATTTGTTTTGGCTTTTCAAAAGTTACTTCATGGTTTATAAAATACAGGATATTGTAAAACTCATATTTTATGGCTATAGTTTAACAGGGGTTGGGACAACTGAAATCAAAAGATGAAAACTTTCTAAAGAAAGGATGGGGGAGATGGTGGAGCTTAAGAATTGCTGTGAAAGGCCTTAAATTCGAGGTTTGTTCTGTAACTCTCAATCTAAAATTCAGTTTCTGTGTAAACAAGTAAAATCTTTCTGATTTTTTTTTAATCAATTTTTGAAGACATTCGAATGTATGAGCTCTGAATTATATTAAAATTAATATTTGGGGGGGATAAAAATACAGTTGTGGGACTTAATTGACAACTCAAGGATAAACATTACAGGAATGCTCTAAGTATCTCAAAATCAATATTAAAATTCAAGAAATTCAGAGAATATTGCAGTTGCAGGCATAGTGAAGATACTCGGGGAACCTTACCTGTGACATGTAACAACATAATGCAAGTGCCATTGCATGCAGGAATGATGGTAGAGATTGAGTGAAAGCTTGTTAAATGAGATGAGCATTACCAGTGGCCTTTATTTAG